ATTGCCCAACCTTCCTTCCGAGGAGTGGCTGGTGGGTTTGAACCGCCAGCCTTCTGGTTAGCAGTCAAGTGCCTTAGGCACTATGCCACCAGAACTCCCAGCTCTAGTTTAGGAAGTAAGTTGCCTGGACAGGAGGGTGAGGATCAGTGAGCACTCTCTTCTCTATATGTAGTTAGGGAAACTTAGACCTCAAGAGAGCAAAGGAATTGCCCAAGGTCACATTATATAAGCCAGCAGCAGAGCAGGGGAGTTGAGTTCAGTGATAGTCCTCTGCATTCTAAGGGGCTTTATCCTGAGACTCACCAGGTTTGTTAGTGTGGGAATAATGGTCACACTTGCTATGCCACGCCTCAGAAGGAAAGGAGTGATACTGCCTCAGAAACCCAAGGAGGGGTTGCTATGAGTCGGATACGACTCGACGGCAGTGAGTTTGGTTTGGTTTGGTTTACTATGTCAAGTTAGCCTGGCTCCATGAAGGCAGAGAGGCTAGGCAGGACCCTTGTGAGATTCTGCCTGTGGAGCCAAAGGACGTTTCTGAAAATGTCCACGTTTCTTCTTTGGCTCTCACTGGAGCAGAATCAGCGTTGTGACGGCAAATATAATTCTCCCAGTCCACCAAAGAGGATTAAAGGAAGACTGTTTATGAGGAGGAAGCTGGCATCCTGGTGGGGTCATTAGTAGCTCCACAAGTTCACATGTACAACTGGCTCTCAGTGCTAGATAAAGGAGGGAAAAGATAGTATAAAAATACACCAGTAACTGGAGGGCTTTAACGCAAGCCCAAGACTAAAATTTGGGGGATTCTGGGAGTCTGTGAATCTTCTTCTGCTGCTGCTATGTGATTAATTCCATAGTGTGACAACTGAGAATGAAAATGAAAGCGTTTTCCTTTGCCTTCTCTCAGAGGAGCTATATACTCAAGGAATCTGTTTCCTGCAGAAGAGCATGACTTAACTGACGGTCTAGGGGGTCTGACTCATCTCTTAGCTTTCCCCAGAGCTCATCCTAGGATGTCTCTTTTTCAAGTGGAGGGAGGAAGGAGTTGGGAGGAGAAAGCAAGGAAGGAAGGATTTATACCCTTTACAAAAAAAAAAAAAAAAAAACCACCACCTCACTGCCATCAAGTTGATTCTGACTCATAGCAACCCCCTTTGGGTTTCCAAATCTTTATGGAAGTAGATTGCTCAGTCTTCCTTCTCTGGAGTGGCTGGTGGATTTGAACCACCAGCCTTCTGGTTAGCAATCAAATGCCTTACTATGCCACCAGAGCTCCTTTTGTACCCGACGGCAAACAACAACAACAGGATTTACCATTTCTTTGAGATAAGTAGCATAAAGGACAAGCAACATGGATGAGACTCTGGTTCATAGAATCCAGGACTGAGACCTGGATAAAGAATTCAGGTGACCTGTTTTAACCCCAAACTAATCTAATACCTGTTACGGTGGAACGAGTCCAGGCTAGAGCGCTAGATATTTAACAACAGTCTAAAGTTAATTTATATATGTTCCATGTAAGTACCAAAACACATGGGAAGGTTTTGATATTATAATGACGTAAAAGTGCTTGGAGCTTAAAGTCTGTAGTCAGACTGCTTGGGCACCAATCATGATGTCCTCGTTCTTTGAGCAAGTTGTTTATAACCTCACTATGCTTCAGTTTCCCAATCTGCAAAATGGACATCATAGTAGCACTAATCTCACAACGTTGTTGTCAGGATTAACTTAGATAAACTATTTAGTATTTAGTAGAGTACTTAGTTCTTAGGAGATGGTAATATAAGTAAATGTTCCCTTGATTGTGATCATGATGTTGCAATTTGCATATAGGGCTGTCTGTGCTCTTGTTCTACAATCAGTGGGAAGCCTCCATAAGCACATGGTTGATCTAAATACAGCAACACAGAGAAAGACATTCAAGGCCCTTTACATTTCATTCCCTTTACAGCTTCATCATTAACACCTCCACAACACAAGCCCTATGACCCAATCAAGCCAAATTGTTCACCATTTTCCCAGCATCCCGGATGGTTTCATAATTCTTTCCTCTGCATATGCTGTTCTTTCTGTCTCTAATGCCTGGCAAAATTCTACTCATTGAACAAGGCCCAACTCCTCAGTATAACCTTTCCCAATAGTTCCTATGAAATATTATTCTATCACAAGATTCCCACTATTCTTAGTTTAAAGACTAAGGAAAAATGATTAGTTATTTACTCCCCATACCTACACCATCTACCTTTAAAGAGAAGGGGTTCCTCAGTGGGGTTCTTTTGTTTTTCTGCCCAGGGTTATAGGTGAAGATGAAAATTTAATAAACTGAGAGGAAACTAAATTGTATTACTTAAGAAAATAGTGAGAGTAGATTGATGAATAAGATAGAGGGAATAAACTAGTGGGATAAAAGGATATAGAAGAAAAAGGGGGACATTTGGGGCAGACAAGAGAGAAGTATATGGCTGCCATCAGTTTTAAATTTGGGGCAGTGGGGAGCCAAAGATGACTCTTGATCAAGAAACAAGATGGTCAGCTCTGTGCAGAAAACTCATTCTGGTAACAGGAGGAGGATGGATAAGAGAAGAGACCAGATGGTGAGAATAATTTGAATTGTGAGCAAACACAGTGTTTCTGGAAGTTGTACCTCAGCCTGGGCTGGCCTGACAACCTACAGTGTGTGAAGGCCAAGGAGGTAGAGACATGGGAACAGAGCCCTGGGTGAGGCATCCCTTCCCAAATACAAGCAGAGCTGTGTTCATTATCTGGAGAAATAAGGAGAGGAGGAGAACCAGAGGTCACAAATGCTTTTAACCCTAGTGCCTAAGGCATTTGACTGCTAACCAGAAGGCTGGTGATTCAAACCCACCAGCCACTCCTCAGAAAGAAGGTTGGGCAATCTACTTCTGTAGTGATACCACCTTGGAAACCCAAGGAGGAGTAGCTTTGAGTTGGATCCAACTCCATAGCTATGGGTTTGGTTTGGTTTTGGTGAGGAAGAGTTAAGCTTAGGGAAGTTGGTCAGTGTAGGCTTCACTGAACAGGTCACATTTGAGCAAAGACTTGAAATAAGTGAGAGAAGGAATCACTTAGATATCTGGAGGAAGGAGAGTCCCCCAGGTGGAAATTACTACTCCCATTTTACATATGTGGAAACTGAAGCACAGAGTGGTTTTAAATAACTTTTTCAAGAATAGAGGTGACACCATGACTAATGTCTAAGCAGCCTGAACTGCAGTCAGAGGGAACAGCTTGTGCACAAGGCAGGAGGGAGTAAACACCTGGTGATTGAGGGGAACAGAGAGGGAGCTAGTATCTGGCACAGAATAAGCAAGAAAGAGTATGTTAGGAGCTGAGGTCAGAGAAATGAACACGGCTGGGCCATGTGGGTCCTTGTAGCCTGTTGTAAGAACTTCAGCTTTTCCTGTGTGTATAACAGAGAACCATTTGAACAGAGGAGGGATAGGATCTGCCTTATGTTTGAAGATCATTCTTGCTGTTGTAGAGAATGGGGCATGGGATTTGGGGTGAGAAGACAACACTGGAAGCAAGAAGATCAGGTGGGAGATTACTACAGTATTTTGGATGTTGGTACCAGTGCAAGGACTAGTGATAAAAAGGGATTGGATTCTGGACAGTAGATTAGCTTTACAAGTGAGGCAAAGAGGAATAAGGGGGACACCAAGGGTTTTGCCTTGAGCATTTCTTTCTACTACACTGTGTAGGAGTAGTACATGTGCCTGTGGGTCTCGATCATAGCCTCTGAAGTGAGATTGCTCCAAAGAAATATTTTTAAACCTTTCAGTGACTCAATTTCTTCATCTATATAATGGAAATTATAATAGTAATTACCTCACATGGTTGTTTAAAGCACTAAATGAATTAATACATGTAAACTGCTTGGAACCATCTCTGGCAAACAATATATGCTAAGTAAGTGACAAAATTACTACTCTTACACCTAACCATATTTGGACAAGTGAGAAACTTGGCTTGTGCCATCTGTACTGACTCCTACTTTGGATGCTGCCTAGGTGCTCTCTGATGGGATTTGACCTGAACCGTCACTGGCTGGATCCCTCTCCATGGGCACACCCTACACTGCATGGGGTGAAACAGCTCATCATCCAGATGTACAATGACCCGGTGAGTAACTGAACACCTTCAGAAGCTGCTGGTCTTATGGCTTGCTCAAGGACAGGGAAGCCATCGGATTGTGTTGATGTCTTAGTCTGGGTTGTCTGTTGCTGCTGTTGTTGTTAGGTGCTGTCAAGAAATCTCTGACTCATAGTGACCCTATGCACAGCAGGACAAAACCCTGCCTGGTCTTGTGCCAGCCTCACTCTCCTTGCTGTACCTAAGCCCATCATTGCAGCCACTGTGTCAATCCATCTCTTTGAGAGCCTTCCCCTTCTTCGTTGACCCTCCACTTTACCAAGCATGATATCCTTCTCCAGGTAATCGTTCCTTCTGACAATATGACCAAAGTAGTTGAGATGAAGTCTGGCCATTCTCACTTCCAAGGAGCAATCCTGCTGCACTTCTTCCAGGACAGATTTGTTAGTCCTTTTAGCAGACCATGGTACTCTTAGCATTCTTCTTCAACACCACAACTCAAAAGCATCAACTGTTCTTTGGTCTTCCTTATTCATTGTTCAATTCTCACATGCATGAGAGGCAATTGAAAATACCATAGCTTGAGTTAGGTGCACCTTAGTCTTCAAGGAGACATGTTTGCTCTTCATCACTTGAAAAAGGTCTTTTGCAGCAGATTTGCCCAATGCAAATATTGCCCAATGCCCAATATTTATGAGATGATGAGATACATCGTCATCTTCATAAATATTGAGTTCAGTTGTGGAGGTCCTGTGAAACAAAGGAAAATATACTGGAGCATATTCATATTTGTCAGGGCTTTTAGGTTACAAGCAAATATATATATATATATATGAACTATTTCAAACAAAATGGAGAACTTACTGGAAGAATACCAGGTTATGTTGTGTAATTGAAGGTCATAGACTGGCCTCTTCCACATGTAAGGAACATGACTGCCAAGTGTCACACCCAGTGACTTCTACAAATAAAGAATGATTTATTCTTATTTTCCAGTTCTGAAATCTCTGGGAAACACTGTGATTGGTTGTCTCTATGCAAGTCAAGAATATCACATGAGGCAAGAATTGTTAGAACTATATAGCTGAAGTATGTATGTGGGGGGGGGGCAGTGAGCTGTATGATATCAAGTTTCCTTAGAGGAACTTGATTTATCTATAGGAAATAGGAGAAGACATTGGGTTTAATAGTTTAGAAAAGAGAAAGAGACAACAATCATTCTATTTCTGAAGAGTTATCAGATAGAGAGAGAAAGCAGGACAGACCTTTCTGTCTGGTAGGGGACAATGGAAGAGGCAGGACCTATAGAGAAATAGAACTTTTAAACAATTAAAGGTATTAGAGCTGCCTGAGGATGGTGTGGGTATGTGAGTTGTGAGCTTGACCTTAGTAAAAAGGTTCAAGCTAAAGCTAACTGACACTCTGTCACAAATGGTGCATAGAGGAGACTCTATTGTATGGAAGACATTCTGGAGAGACTATATTTGAGTCCCTTCTGACTTTGATGACTGTGATTTTATGACCCCTTGACAACAAACAGGTGATAGATGGTAGTTGCTGAGATAGGAAAGTTTCCATCATTGGGGTACTTCAGAGATGTACCAATGTACAATGTAACTTGTTATGCTTATTCTTTTGGAAGATGCCAATAAAAAATATATTGAATTAAAGAAGAAAATATATACTGCTCAGACAAAAACTTGTACTTAAAATCAAATGCATATGTTACAGCAAGGATTAACATAAAGCAAATCTTTGGAATATAGTTATCTTAGTTATGAAACTCAACTATTATCTTGACCCTCCCATGTAGATTTTGTTTCCTAAGGTCTTTTATTTATTTATTTATTTATTTATTTATTTATTTTAGCAACCACCTCTGTGTCAGGGCTTTTGTAGTTTGTTATTAGGTGCCATTAAGCTGGTTTAGACTCAAAGCAACTCTGTGTACCACAGAACAGAACACTGCTGAGTCCTGCATCATTCACTATCATTGCTATGTTTGAGCTGAATATTTCAGCCACTCTGTCAATCCATTTCCTTGAGAGTCTTCATCTTTTTTGCTTGACCCTCTACTTTACCAAGAATGATGCTTTCTCAAGGGACTGATCTCCCCTGATAACATGTCCAAAGTATGTGAGACCAAGTCTCACCATCTTCACTTCTAAGAAGCACTCTGAATGTACTTCTTCCAAGATAGATTTGTTCATTCCTCTGGCAGTCCATGGTATATTCAATATTCTTTGTCAGCACCATAACTCAAAGACATCTATTCCTCTTCAGTCTCTCTTATTCATTGTCTAACTTTCCTATGCATGAGGTGATTGAAAATACCATGGCTTGGGTCAGGTGCACCTTAATCCTTAAAGTGACATCTTTGCTTTTTAACACTGTTTAGGAAGTCTTTTGCAGCAGATTTGCCCAATGCAATACATCGTTTGATTTCTTCACTGCTATTTCCTTGAGTTTTGATTATAGATCCAAGTAAAATGAAATCCTAGCATCAAAGATGTCAAACTCATGTGAAATTGCTCACTATAGATTAATAAGTAAGCACAAGTAACCTTATGCTTACCTTGCTTATTGGATGATTCACTCCTGCTATTATGCCAACAGTAGTATGGTTTATAGATTCACAACAGCTATTTGTGGAAAGAATGAAGAGCCATGATGAAAGAACTAACACTGGGCTGGGAGGAGTGATGAAGTGGAAGCCATTTAACAAAGTAATGTTTTAGATGAAATATTCAAGGATAGAGATAGGGGGTGGGAGGATGGGGAAGAAAAGAAGGGAAAGAGATCGAGGTTGTTAAAGAGGAATGATTCTCAGCCAGTCATTGATATCATCAATTAGAAATTATTGACTTGCTTACAAACAACTGGGCACTCAGCCATTTTACAAAGCATAAATCAGGCAAGACTGAGTTGGAGAGGTAGTAGGAAAAATATTCGTGCCCGTGAATAGTTTGAACATCAGCTGGTTGGATGCTGCATTTGTTGTGTCAGTCATTTTCTTCCTGAAAGTCCACCTCTTTATGCCACAGGCAAGGACGAAGAACACTAATATAGGACTCAAGCTGAACTGGAATAGGATCTCAGCTTTCTCTCTTGTCTCCCTCTCTTCTTCCTTCCCATGCTCCTTTCCCAATAAAAATATTTAGTGGGTTGCTTCTACACACTAGACACTGGGATTCGAATAGTGAACAAAACTCTAGCCCTTGCAATCTACTGGGGAAATAAATATTAAACAACAAAATACTGAGACATGTATAGAATTTTATATACAGTATTGTTATTGTTGTTGTTGTTATGTGCCGTCGAGTTGGACTCGACTCATAGTGACCCCTCCTTGGGTTTCCGAGACAGTATTACTACAAAAGTAGATTATCCCATCTTCCTTCCGAGGAGTAGCTGGTGGGTTTGAACCACCAGCCTTCTGGTTAGCAGCCAAGTGCCTTACGCACTACACTACCAGAGCTCCCATATACAGCATTAGAGGATACAAAACAAATAAAGGAAAATGTGGGAATTAAAGGTAGGGTGGTGAATTCTCAGTTTGCCTGGAGCAGTTGTGATTCATACATGTTCCTGGAATATTCACTGATACTGCCACTTAAAAGCATTCTGGTTTGAATGGTAAATTATATGGTCTCTTTATTTTTATTTTTTTACTCTTTACTATAAGCTGTGTGAAAGCACCTAGCATAGTACCTGGTTGTTGTTGTTGTTGTTGTTATTTGCCATCGAGTACCTGGTAGGTAGCAGAATCCCTACAAGCATTATTTGGACCTGATTCAGCATTAACTTCAGGTGTCACTGTGTCCAGATACAAACACTGCAATGCCTGCAGGTATCTACTCAAATAGCTTCGAATGTGTTTCTACTCTTGATCTTCATGGTCACCTACATAATTATAATCAGTCAACTCCTAGTCGTCTGAACTTCCAGTGAAGTTTCTGGACTGGTTTCCAAATGCTCACAACCTCACTCCCTCCATCCTGGTGGCCTTCTGCCCACAGAATCTACAAGCAGAGAATCAGAAGACCTATCATGACCTGAGTGTCTTCCTCACTAAACTCCTTCTATGTGCACTGGAAATACAAACATAGAGTAGGTGCCCACCTCTTAGGAGCTCACAGCCTGGTGGAGACACATTTTTAGACAAATGTTCTAGGTGCATCTGTGGAGGGAGGCTCAGAGGTGTGGGGACCCATAGAAGACACCCAACCTAGACAGCAACACTTGAGCTGATTCACAAAGGGGCCCAGGGTAGGGAGGGATTTCCAGCAGAGGAAACTATGTGTGTGTGTCTGTTTCCAGAGGGAGGCATACTTAGGGGACTGCAAGCCATTCAATGTGGTTGGTACTCAGAGCAGATAGAGGGGCAAAGGGTAGTTAGGAGGCATGAAACAATTTGGACTTTATTCTAATGGGAATGGGAAGCCACCGAAGGATTTTAAGCAAGTGAGTCATAGGATTGGGTCTGAATTCCAAAAAGATTCCTCTAGTGCCTGTTAGGAGGATGAATTTGAAGGATGCCAGAAGAGAGGATGAAAAACCATTAAAGCCTGTTGCTGTGGGATTGCAAAGAAGGAGGAGAACCCTGGAGATATTAAGAGGAGGGACACATGATGGATTTAGTGACCATGGATGATTGGAGAGTGAGGAGTCTTGAAGGATACCCAAGATTTTACCTTAGACAGTGGATGGTGTTGTCCTCCCTGAGAGCCCTGAGAACCCAGAAGGAACGGCTTGTGTGGCGACAAGGGGATGCAGCCAGATTTAGACATGTTCAGTTTGAAGTTGAGCAGGAGTGATGTTTGACATGCATTGTAAGTCTCCTGGAACAAGTCCTTCTGTGTCCTTACAACCTAGTAACAAGAGCCTGCTGTCTGTGTGTTAGGGAAAATGCTTACTTCGAAGCCTGCTTTCCTAGCCTTGTGTTCACTAAACCCTTAACCCCTCTCAGAGACATAGGATATTATATGATGACCTTGACAAAGGTGTGTTTAACCCAGAGGACTACACTG